AAAATAACTGTTTTCTGTGCTAGAATGAGATTGGAAGCCTCTGAGGCTGCGATTTGAGTCCAGAAAAAAGACAGAAGAAAAATAATCTGATCAATTCTATGATAAATTATTGCATTAATATTTAACAGTAAGTTAAATATGCTGAGTACAGTTCTAATAAAATAACTAAAAAGACTTACATCATGTTTCTTCAGAACCATCAACTTGAGTCTTAAAACGAACAAACACAGATCAGCTAGTTTTCTACTACAGTCAAACAAACATCAACAACAACTACATTCGTAATCTATTTTAATCTATAAAGTTTGGGGTAGGTAAAAATTTTTTTTCATATTTTTGAATGGAGTCTCTCACCTAGGCTGCATTTATTTGATATAAATACAATAAAAAGAGTAATATTGTGAAATATTTTGACAATTTAAAATATTCTATTTTCTATTTTAATATATTTTAAAAAGTAATTTATTCCTGTGATGCAAAGCTGAATTTTCACATGATCCTTCAAAAATCATTCTATGCTGATTTGCTGCTCAAGAAACATTTCTTATTATTACAACTACTATCAAAGTTGAAAACAATTTAATATTTTAGGAATCTTTTTTTTTTCTCAATTCTTCAGAATTCTGGGATAAACAATGTTCAGATGAACAGCATTTTTCTAAAAGTATAATTTTTTATTTATTTATTTATTTTGTAAGCATGTGTCTTTACTGTCACTTTTCAATTTATCAATTAATGAGTGACAGAAAAGATCAGCTTAAAGCATTCTTGCTGAATGAAAATATGAATAAAAAAAAAAAGTGTATATATAAACTGAAACAGGATATTCAACACGAAAAATGTTTTGGAAAATATTTATCTATGGGAATTGATTGGATTATGAAAAGTGGTTTTATAGGTGTTTGAAAGGCAGGGGTTAAAAACAACAGCCTGAAAGTCATTTCGGCAAAAAATGATGAAGACAGATATGTATTAATATGGTAAACGGAGAATTTTGATTTCATGTTGTCTTGAACTGCCCCTTCTGCTTCTGAAGCAGGACGAAAACTTATATAAACCTGATTGACATTAATAATCTCTGATCTGATAATGTCAGTGAGCTCCTTCTAATGATTGGCTGAAACTCAAAATGTCACTGAGGTTAACAAAACAATTTAATTGGAAATGTTGGTGTACTGTAGCATATGTCACTGAAGAGGTTGCGCTTAAGGACTGTATTATAACTCGAATGCTTTAACATAATTGCTCTTAAAAGCTCTGTTAGATTGCCCTTGTTCTTCAGAAATGGCATTGATTGTTCAGAATATGATTATTTAATGAAGAATCCTCCCATTTATCAAATTTACAGCTCTGAAAAGGGAAACAGATTCCTGCGAGCTTATAAAAGCCCAGTGCTCATCGCCAAGGGTGAGCTGTTTATCTGCTCAGGGGTACATGAGAGGTTACGAGTCCTTCAGAGGGAGAAGCTTTTATCTAATTCTGCTTGTTATTAAGATATGACCATGCTAGGAAATAAGCTCATTGTGAACTCAAAAGCATTTATGTCCTTCATCACTGAGTTTTTTGTTGATTAGAATATGAGTCTAGGAAAGCAATGAAGTCTTGTAGTCATTAGAATATCATTTAGAAATCTCACTGTTAAAATGTCTGTGTTAAATGAGGCAACACTGTCAAAGAAGACACTGACGAAGTCTTAAAGGTGCAATAGGTGATTGTCTTCAGAAACATTTTTTGTTATGCTGGTTGAAAGTCTCTTCACATCCCGATAGCAATCATTAAGTTAAGTGGTCTAAATGTATTTGTCGTGTGCTTGACTTTTAAAAGTGAACATAAAATCTTCTAAAATAATTATTAAATTATTATTAATTATTAAAATCAAAATTTACTTTCATAATATATTAATAGTCTTTTGTGCACAATTAATCAGTGCACAATATTTCAAATACCAAACAAAAAAATAAAGTTTGTTGAACTGTTGTAATCTAAACTACTTTCCAATTCATCTGATGTCACCTAGGTCACGCAGGTGGAGTATAATAATTTTAACCAGTGTGGGGAAAGAAAAAAAAAAAAAGTAAAGTTGATTGGTGGATTATGTTTTACAAGAAAATACCATATCAGTTTTTCTACTTCAAAGAGTCATGTTTAATTCAACGTGTTACTCGCCATTTCTCTCTGTTTGTGACGTTTACTAGCAATTTCTGAGTGAAATGAGTGGCATTCATGTTTCTACACCAATTTTTCAGCTAAATAGCTATTTAGGTGCTATGTTGTAGTGAATGACATTATATAAACTTTCCCATTGTTAACGAAATAATTTAATGCCATTTAAAGGTGCACACAGTAATCAAATCTCCATAGACAAAATCATATTTTAACCCCATAGTAAAAATTATTTTTTTCAAAGTTATAACTAACTTTTTTCAGTCTTTCTACTTCAAAATTTCACATTTATTTCAATGCATTGCTTGCTGTTTTTAATTTTTTTGTGTGGAATTTACCAGCAAATTCTGAGTGAAAAATGTTTAAGACTATTTTTTTTCAGTGTATTGCTTTACAGAAGTCAAATGCATGGTTACTCCACGTTATTTTAAACCTGTAAAACACAGAATAAGATATTTTTAAAAATGTATTGTGTATTGTAGTTTATAGAATGAAAGTGAATTGTTGAGAAGCAGTGCTCATCAAAATATCTTCTGTGTTTCACAGAAGGAATAGAGACAGTCATACAGTGCTGTGAGTAAATGATGACAGAATGTCCATTTTGGAGTGAACTATACCTATAAAATAATCGATTAATAATCAATCTAGCAGTAATGAATTCATTGGAATCAATTCAACTGAATCAAATGTATTCCTATGTCTGTAACAGAGATCAGCAAAAGTCTAAATAAAAACAACATTCGCAACCCAATTCTCTTTTATAAAATTACTCATAATATACACTACCATTTAAAAGTGTGGGGTTAGTAAGATATTTTTATGTTTTTGAAAGAAGTCTCTTATGCTTACCAAGGCTGCATTTATTTGCTAAAAAATACAGTAAAACAGTAATATAATGAAATATTATTACAATTAAAAAGAGCTGCTTTTTATTTAGTATTTTAATATATCTTCTGTGTTTCAACGTGAGTAATTGATGATTATTTTAATTTTGGAGTGAACTAAAATCGGTGAAAAGTAATTGAAACAACTCAACAGACTCAAACCTCTGTGGTTTCCATCCTAACGTTACCTATGTCACTAACAGGCCTTGTTTTTTTTCCCTCTGTGACAGATCAGAGACTGCAGTTCAAAGGGGTTTTAACTCTGATCCTTTACGTCCTGTTGCTTTGGCAGTGTGAGAATCTGAGACCAAGACATTCCTGCAAATTCTTCTGGGTACAGAAGAACATCTGGCTGTAATGTCTGCAAGGAGACAACTGATATCAATAACAATGCCAATCTTAAGCAGATCAGGAAATACAAATCAACTAACAAAACGTGCACCAAAAATTACAAAGTAGAGGCAAATTAGTCAGCCAACACACACACAAAGTCCAGCTCTACTCAGATGGCGGGCACAATGTCCAGCGTAAACAGTCCTTTACTAAGGATGTTTTATTCATGAGTGCAAAGCCATCTCCACACATGAGCTATTATATTTCTCAACCCTCATTTATAGCTCTCATGTGCGACGCCCAGATAACAGAGGAAAATTGCCTGGAGGGCTGAGACGACACCGCAGGAAGTAACGCCGGCTATCATAACACCCAGCTGGAGGGATGACAGAGAAAGAGACATTTATCAACGCAGCAGAGGCACCTTTCAACACACGCCATGCACATCTCAATGCAGCGGCGCACCTTCACAATCACTACAGCGCCTGACATTAAGACAGAATCTAAAGATATTCTGGGGTCTAACCGGAATAGGTGAAGCTTAAGATGAAAAAAACAAAGCACAACAGCAGTTATTGCCATGCCCACCCACACACACACCTTGCTGTGTCACTGATCACTGCTTTTAGGAACTGTGGGAAAGCATGTGCACAGAATGCTTTCAGTAAAATACATGTTTAGAAAGGAGAAAGTTAAAGGGATAGTTCACCCCAAAAATGTTTACTCACCCTGATGTCTTTCCAAACTTGTATGACTTATTTTCTTCTGTGGAATACAAGAGAAGATATTTCGAGGAATAATTTATCTGTTTTTGTACCTATCAGACCCCATACGAATTGAGGGTGAGTGAATGGATTTTTACTCATTTTTGGGTGAACTACCCCTTTAAGCAGACAGATCTTAAAATAAGCTTTAGATTCTATAAAAGCTTCCTCGTTGTACATAATAGATGGCATGAAAAGTTGTCTGTTCTTATTTGCTGAGTGCTGAAATGCTATTTGTGAACCCATTCGCTGTCCATGGTGCTGACAGGAACAGCATGCTGGATCTCTTTTGAGATTTCAGTTTAACATGCTCATTACTCTTTCTTCTGAGACATCTACATGTGTTTTTAAGCCTTTTATGTAATGTTGTCGATTCAATTGACCTGCAATTAAATGTGCTCTGCTGGTCTGTAGATCCAAATATATTATGTGTTCACCAGAAATCATCCAAACCTCACAGTGGCAATATTTGGCATCCAACACATGGTTACAATCTGAAATTGCTGAAGATTATATCTAAAATAAAGATAGTAGGACCTGCTTGCTTACCCATGCATTCGAACAGTTATAAAGTAAATGATGTATGAGATGACTCTTTTAAATATATCATTATAAAAACCACATAAGGTGAGTGAGAGATCTACACAACGATAAAGGTATGATTTACAGAGGTTCCACTTAGTTTCACATTCACTTGCAATGTGGTTATTATGCACAAGCACAACTACAGATGTGTATTTGATGATAAACCTCACAGCCAAAGAATACATCATTCATAGATTAACATTTCAGAATCGCCTTGCTTTTATTGCAAACAAACATGTGCTGTAAGGTTTGATTTCTTGTCCTTATATACCTGCAAAGGAGAGTCTGTTCATCTTCGGTGAAAGCAAAGACGCACTGATTGATATTTTCCCCAAAGAAACAATTATTCCCTTCACAGACACCTTAATTTGCATCATCTACGTGAAAAATGCGCACCTCCAAAAATCACTTCACCTTAAAAGCATCTGCAAAAGGATAAGGCATTCAAAAAATGAAAGAAAAACCTGCAAAAATAAACAAACGTGACAGGTATGCTGCAAGAAAAGTTTCCATTAAAACGTCACCAGGTCTGAAAATGACTTTCGGGTAAAGAAAAGACCAAAATAAAAGCCAAATGCTTCTCTCGGTGACATCAAAATCACGAAACTCTCATAAACAACAGCGCAAAATACAAGCAAAGCATATCTACAGCAAAAGTCTATGGCAGAGAACAAAAAGGGAAAAAGGGTTAAAAACAAATATCATCGTACATACGTAAAAATGGAACTGCCAAGGCCATTTAAAAACCAGTTGCATGATTTCACACGACTGCAAGCACGTACTTGGCCAGTGTCACTCAGTACTGAATAGCCCCGAAAGGAATCACTGCATACTAAAAACTTGAGGTACGGATCGAAAAACGCCTCAAAACAACACTTTTTCAAATCTCAACGCTCAAACCCCAGCAGAAGGAGAGAGAACAAAATTTAAAAAAAAGAGCAAGTGAAAAGACAAAAAGGGTTACAAAAAAGTCTGGAAACGTACTCACCGAGTGGGAGTAAAATGTTGCGATAAAAATGCGTTATGGCACAAAACACAGTATGGCGAATGAAGCGCGTTCGTTCTCTCTCAGTCTGTGAGCCCTCGCTGCTGTCACGTGACTGCTGCTGCCTTGAGCGGCGGGAAGAGGAGCTGACAGGAGACGCCGTTAGTTAGTCGTTATCATTCCACACCGAGAGCCTTCTGTGATTCTCCCGTTGTATTTTTTACCGTCTCTTTTAAGCTTGCGGAGCTCCCATGATGTCAGACTCAACGTAACGTCTAAAGAGAGCCTCTCAACGCCGTCTATGTTGTTCTTGCTCTTCGTCTTTATGTTTTGTGACGATAAACAAGTAATGTGAGGTGTGTATGTATGTATGTGTGTGCGCTTGCGTGAGATAATACATCTTGGATAATGTCGTTATAACGTTATAAAAGGCAGTTTTAGTCCCTTGCTTTTTTTTTTTTACATACGTTTATCTGATGCAAATAGCGTCGTGCAGCATCAGTACATTCCTCCCGTAACATTTATCACGTCAAAATGAAGGGGCAGCATTTTAAGCTAACTTACAGACTTTCCATTGCCGTGTTATCTCGTCATTTCTATATAAAAGGAAAATAAGATAATTAAATCATAATGAAATGCAGACAACGTTTAAAAGATCCCATATAATTGGCATTCAGATGCCAAAAACAATTCCCTCATGTAGCCTAAAAAGAAAACATTGTTTTGTGGTAAAACAGAGTGAAATAGAAGCAAGATAGATAGATAGATATACAAAATTCCAAATTTGCATGACAGAGACTGAATAGGAAAAGTGGCAATTTTATACATTTTGTAAAAACAACAGCAAAGTTATAGCCACAACAGTATGGCACTTGTGAATATAGCTTCATTTTTTCCCTCTGTGCCACAAGTTTTATTATTTGCATTCATTTTTAATTAACATTCTGTTTTATTATTAGCATTTAGCATTGTTATTTTTCTTTGGCTCACCACCCACCGGTTCAGATCCTAGCTAATTGGCGATTTGATGCCAAAAGCATTGCCTACATGGAGAGAGAAAAATATAGTGTTCTATAGCACTAACAGCGTTCAAATTAGCCTTTTTAAGTGTTCAAATTAATGTTTTGATACTGCTTGTGCTATAAGTATAACTTCTATGCTTGTGGTCATTCAATAGAATAGGAGAAAAGATAACATTATGCTACTGTGAAGCATAACACTACTATTTTCAGTTTCAGACGACACATAGATCGATCAATAGTGTAATAATTAGTTTGATACATATTGAGAATAAATTTAGCAATGTGGGACATGGTCAACCACAACATCTCTACACACGGCGCTATGTTGAGGCTGAACAAACCATGCATAATACAGGGACTGTGATGGAGTTTGTAAGCTTATCATGCCTGACCAGGTGGAACATGGGAGACACATGCAGCTGAGGTTAAGGCTGATAGGTTGTTGCAGTGCTGGGCTTAGTTTTTTTTTTCCTGAAGTTTCCGGAGTCTGAGTTGCCCATGATCATTTACTCTGATGGCATCAGTCCAAAAGCCTTTTTTAGAGGACCAAGCCAAGAAATACAAGCACAGCCTTGAACTGTGCAAATACATTCAGTGGTTTGATATTTTATTAACTTATTGCTAGATGTGAAGCACTGATGACCACCCACAGCTCATTAACCTTCACTTTGCCAATAACCACAAGTATCATTAGAGGCAGTAAGATGCACAAATTGTTATGAGCTGTAATACCATACTGTCAGATTCAGTCGCTAACGTACGTCCCTTCGAATCCTGGAGTCAATGGCAGGAAAACACACTGGCCAGAGCCGATGTTTATCACGCAAGGCATTATTGGCCTGCTGAAGAATTCTTCAGCAACCTCCACCTAGTGAAATATTAATCAATAAATGTGTATGCATTATTTATCAGCTGATAAGCATTCAAGAAATCAGGCATCTTTCAGCGGTGCATGTGCTGCAATAAAATAGAAAAAATATAAATATCAGCATAGAGGGAAGCGCATTCTTTTGTGCTTTGTGTGTACATTGTGTTTGCTGACAGATCATACGTTATTGTATTTGCTCTGTTGGCTTTATTACAACGCTGTGGCCCAATCCCACGATTCTTTGTTTTAAATCAAAGAGTGACTGGATGAAACTGCAAATATTTGCAAATCTTTTTGTAATGAAATGAACACAATGTCTGACAGCACAACTAGAGCGCATGCTTCTTATTTCAGTTCATAAGAGCAGGCTTTATGCATTCTAATCTCTATTGTTCAGAGTCTTCAACCAGATGAAGTTTGGCGCTTAGGAATATTTCTAGGTAATTATTGCAGAAATGCAATGATCTCAACATATGCTTACGTAAGAGCGAGTTTTAGCACTAACACTCCGAGCTGCCAGAGAACACAGCAGGTGACACAGTGGCTCTTTGGTCAGCGGATTTTATTGTTTCATGGTGCTTTGAGTTTATCACCGCATTTGAAATAGAAGAAATTTCTATAACGCAATTCTCTGCATGGCCAAAGCCCAGTCGGTGGCCTGATTGGAGTAGTCGCATGTTTTTCTTGCAGATTTATATGCAATATGGACTTAATTTCCTTTATTGCTACATAGGTGGATTCTTATTTTCTAGGTTGCTGCCTTTCAACACAGTGTTGGTGTCGTGCAATTGTTTACTATAGTTTAAGAACAGATTGATGATTCATTTTTAGAAATGCGTGCCTAGCACAGGCAGATGGCTTCTTCTCCATAGGGGTGTTTTTGTTTGTTTTATTTTTTATCTTGCTTACCAAGTTTCTTTTTCTCACTTCAGGGAATTCTGCATTTTTTACTGTCACTGTTGGCCCCATTTTGCTCTCTTAAGATTAAAGAAATAGTTCACCCAAAAATGAGACATTTTACTCACCCTCAGGCCATTCAAGATGTAGATGAGTTTGTTTCTTCATCCGAACAGATTTGGAGAAATTTAGCATTACATCACTTGCTCACCAATGGATCCTCTGCAGTGAATGGGTGCCGTCAGAATGAGAGTCCCAACAGCTGATAAAAACATAAAAGTCCACACTACTCCAATTAATGGCTTATGAAGTGAAAAGCTGTGTTTATAAGAAACAAATTCATCATTAAGGCATTTTAACATTAAACAATGGCCAAAATATGAGTTCATAATCTATAATAACACTTCCTTCAGTGAAAAAGACCATCCTCTGTTGATCTCTCACATAGAGATCTGTTTTTAGAACTGTTTTTGCTTGTAAACAGTGCTTGATCTATGCATATTTCTCTCCTGATTCAGACACGATGACTTCTTCACTGAAGACAGCAATATTACAGATACAGTAGATGACTTGTATTTTAGAAGCAATGGTTTGAATGTAAAAACGTCTTAATGTTTAATTTGTGTCCTTACAAACATGCAGCTTTTCACTTTATAAGATGTTAAATTATGTACTGGAGTCATTTTTATCAGCTGTTGGTACTCTCATTCTGACGGCACCCATTCACTGAAGAGGATCCATTGGTGAGCAAGTAATGTAATTCTAAATTTCTCAAAATCAGTTCTGATGAAGAAACAAACTCATCTACATACTGGATGGCCTGAGGATGAGTACATTTTCAAAAAAATTTAATTTTTGGATGAACTATTGCTATATATTCCATATATAGGTACGGGCTCTCTGTAAAAAACAGTATTGTTAAAAGCATCACTTTTGTAAATAACTTTCAAAATCCAAACTAATTTGACTGTTTTCTTTGTGGGTCCTGTGGATTCAGGTTGTTCACTGGTGGAGGACGATAAAGCAGGTCCAGCTGACTTAGATGAGCAGCACAAGGTGTCACGCATGCGACAAACGAGGGCTGCCATCACCTTCACCTCCCCCTCCACATGGCCTTGAGATCAGCGGGGTGATGTTTCCAGAGCTGACTACTCTGTATTAAACATGGATGCCGGCAAACACGCTGCAGTGAAGAGAGAGGGCTTGGTCCTATGTCTGTCGGAAGTAAAAAAAAGCGTACGTATTAAATGTTAATAAACGACTGCAAAGACACAAGCCTGAAGGCATCTCCCTAGAGCAGAACGAGTAAACCCAATTATGTCCGCCAACTCAACCTGCACCACTGGACCATCATGGGAAATTACAATGACTTGACCCTTCGATTGTCATTTAACTTACACTTCCTTAATGGACTCATAAAATGTATCTTATCTGTTAATGGCCTATTAGTGCCATGAAATAGAAGCTCGAGGGAAAATGCGTCCGAAATGCACCAGGAAAAAATATGTTGAAGTTTCTCCCACAGTTCAAACTGAGACATTTATTCCAAACAAAAACATATTTTGCCAGTCACTGATCTTTTTTTATTTATTTTATTTATTTATTTATTATTAAACAATGGCCAAAATATGAGTTCATAATCTATAATAACACTTCCTTCAGTGAAAAAGACCATCCTCTGTTGATCTCTCACATAGAGATCTGTTTTTAGAACTGTTTTTGCTTGTAAACAGTGCTTGATCTATGCATATTTCTCTCCTGATTCAGACACGATGACTTCTTCACTGAAGACAGCAATATTACAGATACAGTAGATGACTTGTATTTTAGAAGCAATGGTTTGAATGTAAAAACGTCTTAATGTTTAATTTGTGTCCTTACAAACATGCAGCTTTTCACTTTATAAGATGTTAAATTATGTACTGGAGTCATTTTTATCAGCTGTTGGTACTCTCATTCTGACGGCACCCATTCACTGAAGAGGATCCATTGGTGAGCAAGTAATGTAATTCTAAATTTCTCAAAATCAGTTCTGATGAAGAAACAAACTCATCTACATACTGGATGGCCTGAGGATGAGTACATTTTCAAAAAAATTTAATTTTTGGATGAACTATTGCTATATATT